GGCCAGCCTCTTCTCCGTGGTGCCCAGCGACAGGACAAGAGGCAACGGGCGGCAGAAACTGAACCACAGGAAGTTCCATCTGAACCTGAGAAAAAACTTCTTCACTGTGAGGGTGATAGAGCACCGGAAGAGGTGCCCAGAGAGGTAGTGGAGTCTCCTTCCCTGGAGATATTCAAAACCCATCTGGATGTGATCCTGGGCAATATGCTCTAGAGGACCCTGCTTGAGCAGGGAGGTTGGACTAGATGATCTCCAGAGGTCCCTTCCAACCTAAACGATTCTGTGATTCTGTAAATTATTTTCCAGGTAAAAGAATTTCCCGAATAAGAAACTGGGAAAAGCCAAGAGACGCTTAGGCAGCGTTCCGTTCCATAAGCACTGTCTTAGTCGTCTTCCTGTGCTCTTTGTGTATATGTATTTGTTTTGGTCCCCCAGTTAAGGCTGAGGGTTTTCTAGTTGCTATTGAACATGAATGAAGTTTCAACACATTTTTGAAACACATGAGTTTTCCATCTAAATTAGAGACCTTATTATGCTAATGGACTCACTTAGCTACTGGGCATCTGAAGGAATGCAGACAGGGCATCTTTACACTTACCTGTGAGCATTCCCCCTTTGTATACAGAGTGCTGTGTTCTTCCACTCCTCATACTTCTAATTTTTTCAGGAAGTTCACCAAGTTGTAGCTATAAAGTTACTCTGCACTATCTTGTGGATCGTGTGCCATAAGGATCTCTTTTTTTTTTTTTTTTTTTTTTTTTTTGGAAAGATGACACCTGATGCGCACAAAAAAACATGTGAAAGACTTGGGAAGATGAGCTTATAGCAGCTTCTGTGCTTGTTATCTGTTGTAGGAGTTGCTGTGTAATTGCATCAGGCGATTGAAAGGGTACCTGGTTTGGGGAAGGGATCCTCTTCAGAAGTGCGTGTACTCTAGCACAGGACTGCCAGGTGTCCTTGCACCCTTCTACTCTCTCTTATTAACCTTACTTGTAGGAAATGCAGGAACCCAAATCACTAACTAACTTCCTTAGAATAGATAAGGCCACAGAAGAGTACTGTTTTGGAAGAAAAATCTAAGCCTTGCTGAAAGAGTTTACTGCTAATGACATCTTAGATGCAGAAGGAAGGGAAAAACTTTTGTGGGACATTTAATTTGTGAAATGTTTATTTTTAATTTGCAGAATATTTTTTTAATATGTGATTTATACCAAAAACATTGCATAGTTTTTAATTTTTTTATTACAATAAGTTCATCTGGGCCATCTTTGTGGCGGTGCATTTATTTCAGATTTGTTCTCTGCACATCAAAGAAAATATAATTTTTAATGATGCTAAATTAAAGTAAGGAAGTGCAGATACTGAGAAACTAATAGAGTGATATCTATGCCTATGAAATCCTCTCTGAAGACGCCTGGTGGCCTATAGTTTCATATACATTAACATGAACTCTGATTTTGATGTAAATTTTGGATGCTGATGAAACTATTTCTTTGTCTTGTCTGTTTCCAGCATTTGCTAACAATGATACTGCCTCTGACCCTAACCTGTCCCGTCTAAAAGAGATGGGGTGAGGTGATATAAGAAAGAGCTGCTATCTAGCATGTTGTGTGAAATGTCATTTGGTATTTTGTATCAACAGTGGAACTAAACGTATGATGTCTGTTTGGGTTAGTGCCTATCTGTTTAAGTGAGGGGAATCTCAGTGTGTGGATAAATATTCACTGCATAGAATTTATTCAGCTACTTTCAACAGTTGGAGTCTCAGTTGCTTTGTTACTTCCTCTCATCTTGGAGGGCTGCCATCCACAGATGAGCAGTGTTAGCAGATCAGGTAAGTAGTTATCCTAATTTGCTTCAGGGCAAAGTCTGTTGTGTGTGATTTTGTTTTTGTTTTTATCAATGCTGATGATGACAAATTACTGGGGATGGTAACGGAAGGTTTTCTAGTCATACTTGCGAGGCTTTACCCCTTTGCTTTCTTAGACTAATAGGTTTTCTGCATGTTTCTGGGAGCATGATATTTTGTTCAGTTGTTTGCAGTGCGATCTTTAATCTAGAGGCGCTTTGCGTTTCTTTCCTTCAAGACTGCCTTCTCTTACAGCAGTCAGGTAAGATGCTGGAAAGAACAACTCCGCGTTTGAAGCTTCCGCTGTAATGAGGAAGATCTTGGAAACTAAGTTCGAAGCCTGCCCATTGATCCCCTCATGTACCCAGGCGAGCCCAGAAAGTAGGGGAAAAGGAGGGTGAGCCAGTTGCAGAGAGGATCAGTGTTTGGTTGTCTGTCTTGTCAATCTTGGTAATCTCTGCACTTGTTTACCCCCAATCCATAATGAATATTTCTTGTTAGTCTCTACTGCTTATAATGAGAAATGAAAGGAAAATATGGAATATTAAAACTTTTCTGATGTATTTAGACATGTTTATTTCTACTTTGTTTGGCAAGTAAGTAGAGCCGTTTGCTGAACCCTTCAAACCTTTTAACTCTGTATAGCGTATTGAGTGCTTTGTCTGCAAAAGGTGTCTAGAGAAATCGGGTTTCATTCTGAGAGCACAGAAGAAGGTGCAGGTGCCTCTTAGAGCTGGGATTGTAACCGAGGAGCATACCCTAGAGGCAATTTTGCCATTAACTTCAGTGTCAATAGTCTACCTCGTTAATAGGCAGGTGAAAGGCAACACCATCTGATGAGAAGCATTTGCTCAGGAGGTAGGGTGTTGTTTTTTTCTTCTGTTTCTGCTGAGGGACTGCAACGTAAGTTGCTTTAATTTTGTTTACCTACTAAGACAAGTTGACTGCTGCTGTTGGGATTTTTTTGGATGGTAGTGTTGGGGCTTGAGGTAAGGAGAGGAGATGAAGCAATGAAGACTAGAAAGTATACTGAGAACAGTGATGGTCAGTAAAATCAAGCAAAGACACAGGGGTAGAAGTTAGTAAATTATTAGTTTCACATAGGTAATTTAGGGCTTAGCATTTTATACTATTGTGCAACTGTGAAATATGTGCCAGTGTTTATGTGCTTAAACACTGGTAGTCAAATAATGGACTGCTAAATACAGTTGCTCCTAAATATAGTTGATATTGAGGTGTGATAGAATTATGGGACAATTTTCATGGTCAGATGAAGGTGTAAATATAACTTTGTCTTTGCTCACAAAATCCTGGACTATTGGCAGTATATTTATGGACTGACTTGGTTTTGTTTGGATTAGTGTCTCATCTGTTTCTAGGAATTCAATATTTTTTCTTTATCTAGCAGTTTCAGTAGCTTTCAAAAGCAAAAAATATTTCTGTGGAAAAAATGTGCCTCTTGTTAGAAGAGAATAAACTGCGTGTGAAAATTGGAAATTTTTTCAAGTTATCATTTGCCTTAAAGAGCAAAACAAAGCTTTGATTATTTTCAGTCATGTTTTAATTATTATCAGGAGTGGGCAATGACTGTAAGAAGACTTGTTCTTGCTCTTGTCTGAGGGATAGTGGCTTACTTGTTTTAGTGAAAAAATATCAATTACGGAAAATTAAAGCTTTTCTAATTAAGTATTTTCTCATTGCTTTTTAAAGAACAGCCTTTTTTTCTTCTTAAGTATTTTTTTCTTTTTTGCATAGAACTATGAAAGGATGCCTTTCATCAGTAAATTAAGGTTCATAAGCGTTATTTAAGTTGTATGTAATGTCTCTGTCCTTGGAGATGTTCAAAACTTGACAAGTCAAGGACTCTCCTGAGCACCCTGTTTTGATGTTGAAGTTAGCCCTGTTCTGAGCAAGAAGTAGGACTAGAGACCTCCCGAAGTCTCTTCTGACCTAAACGTTTCAGTGATTTTATGTGATTAATTAGCTAACTATTTAATTTAAAAAATTATCTCTGAAGCTACGAAGCTGTGGTGGTAGGGGGTGTCTGAATCACTTTGAACTTAGATAGTGGACAAACGCGCGTTCAAAAGATTCAAGTCATTGTTCCTAGGACATCATGAACTAGGTTCGTGACAAGGTCCGGCTGTGTATGAAGCAAACTGAGGGAAGAGCTGAAAGTTTTGTGCTTGTTTTCCTGAGAGTGGAGTAATGTTTTGCAGTGTTTACAGCTTAATCAGCCTACCTGATAGAGAGTTATTTACTCTATGTCTCACAAAACATAACAAAAATATTCTATTATAAATGTCTCTGCTGTTTGTTACAGCATTGGAATCATATTAGCTAATTTGCTGTCACTTCAGAAGACAAGTTTTTAATTATTTCCATTAACAGATGAATTCCAGAAAAAGTGTGTGTTCTCACACACTCATAATGGCAGACTCCTGATTATTAAGTGTTAGTCTTTGAATTCTTAAATTATCATTTTGACAGAGGTAGAAAACTGTCCCCATAACCTATGAGAATTCTTCCGTTTTTTTTAGGTTTCAAGGGGATGCGCTTTGGAAGCTGCTCCCGAGTACAGCCATAATCAGGAACAGGACATAAAGCACTCCAAAGCTTCAAGCAACAAAAAATTTCATGTTGACAGCCGTATGCAAGTCTTCAAGACTAAGGAGCTTTCAGAGTCAAGCTCACAGCAGGTTGTGCCAATATACAGGACTAATCCTTCTGGTTATTGCCTGCTGAGTAATACACAGTCTAAATCGTTGAGTACTGTTCAAACACCTATCTGCAGCCAGCATCAGACAGTTGCAACTAGTGATTCTCATGCCAGCGTTGAACTTCATGCACCATTGCAGAAAGAACGGGACACACGTGTAATGAGATTTCCAGCTGCTTCTGATATACAGATGGAGGAAATACATTTACAAGCTCAGAAGAAGCTGTCTGTGGAAAAGTCTTCTGAAGAAATGACTAAGCAAATTACTTCTATCACCTTCTCATCCCGAAAACGTTCTCAGTCACCACTGAGTTCCATGGTACTCAGCAGCAGCCATACTGGAGGTGGTCTTGATGGAATAATGCCTTTGGAGGTTGGCTCTACTAGTACTGAAGAGCATGGTCTTGGTAAACAACACTGGGAAAGGTCTAAGATCTGTCCTCCTTCAAGTCCAGTGCTTGCTGGTTCACTGTCTAATGAGATGGCATTTACTGCTGCCAAAGACAGGTTTCATCACTTTTCTGCTGATGCTAGCAGAACTAGAGGTTATCAAGAAGATTTTCCATCAAATCTGGGTTCTGCAAGCATCCATGCTGATGAAGAACAGACCTGTCCTGCAAAAAAACTCGAGGAAGTTCTGCCTCGAGATGCAACTGAATTAGAGAGACATAGTGCCAGACTCCTAGGGGTTGACCGTAATGTACGATTTAGTCAAGATATGAATAGACTTCATGAACCCCATTCTGTAAGCTCTTATCAGGGAAAGAACAGCTCACTCAGCCACGTGCAAGTCGATGAGAGTTTAGAATGGCCAGGTCCAACTGTACAAACTGACTTGCTGGAGGACCGTATTAATTTCTTAGAAAAAGAGAAAAAAAGTCTCTCTGATAAAGTCTCCCTCATTCAGAAAGAGGTTGCTAGAGAGCAAATCAGCGTGTCTTGCCATTCCTCTCCAAATCAGGTTTTATCCACCACATCTGCATATCCTTCCTCACCGACTAAAAAAGTACTCTCTTGTGTCCATATAACTCTATCCCCAAAGTGTAGTAACTTGGAGCTGTGCGGTGACTTGAATACTGAAAACGAGGTGAGACTAGAGAAAAAGCTTGAAGTTGATACTCAACGAGTGTCTTCAAAAGGTCCAGAAACTTTATTAGAAGCTGTTTCCAAATTATCAACTACTGATCCTGTTCTGACAGATCAAGGGTCTTCCTCTTTTCCAGTGCCAGCAGCTTCAGCAGATTCCTGCCTTGTGCTTTCCTCTGTTCCAAGCACAGCAGGGCAAGAGCTAAAACCTCTGCAAAGCTGCGAGAGACCACAGGCCACTGTTCTGGGTTCAGGGGGATGTAATGTGAAGAATAGCTTCAACTCTGTAGTTTCTGAAAAAAATGGGAAAACCACTTCTGATGCTGCCACTCAGATAACAACAGAAAGTCCTGAAAAAGCAACCTTTTCAGCAGAAATTTATGTTAATTCACAAGGCAGTGAAAATACGATCCACCAGTCATCTCTCCAGAAAACACAGGACGTCCCCAGTTGTACAACTTCATCCCTTGAAAGGATTTCTTCTTTTCCGAAGCAGGCTGGTGAGCAAATTAAAGCATCTTCTAAGTTTTTGAGTGTTGTTTTTGTTTTCTTTGGTTTTTTTTTTTGCAAAAGTAATGTTCTGGAGATAATTTTCCTATTGATATTTATTTAAGGTTGCTCATAGGAAAAAAAGCCTTGGGCTTTACAGTCTTGTGGGTAGGGAGCTGTATCAAAAATTTGCAGTTAAGTTCAGGTTCATCTGCACACAACAAATCCATTCCCAAGTCTGGTTCAAGAAAACTTTCTAACCTAATTTCTAGATCATTTGATTTGGTTCCTTGCTTATGGGCTACCAAGGGACGTATCTGACTGCTCATTTGCTCTGTAGTCAAGGTAATTTGTTTGCACAAGTATTAAGAGAAAATAGGCACGTTAGTATTATCACTAGAGTAAAAATGAAGATGCAGGACTCTTCAATTCTGTTAGTTGGAGGAATGCACATGTTGTACAGTTGTGTCCCACGCTAATGTTTTATAGAGGTGTTTAAAATAGTATGAATTGACAGAACAGATTCTTTTATCGTGCTGGAGTGGGAAAATATTTAATTTACCTGATGACCTATTGTCCTCGCTATTAGAAGCCAACTAATGTTCTGGTCCTTTTCTCCTGTGAAAATAGAAACGTTCACTGGAGTTCCATCATAACAGCTCACTGTATGTATTGACTTGAGAGACAGATATCCGTGATAATTTAAAATGATTTCATTAAACATGGATCAGCAGTAAGCTATGTGGGTACGTGAGCTAAATTTTTTAACTCGGTGTATGTCACCCTAGTTACAAATCTAATACTGATCTTTGAAAATTATCTGTTGAGTTAAGCTAGGTTTTCTAGCTCATGGGTGGTCAACCTTCTAATGAACAGATGGGTGTCCATTAGATAATTATCGATTAGCATATTCTGCAGGAAAATTACATTGTATTTCTCTAGATTTACCCCAGAGAACATCATCTGGAATCTCCTTGGGTCCTGATCTGTTACCTTTATCTTCTGTTGCGTTAAAGGCTTTAATCCTTTATTCTGTTAATTGCTTTGCCTTCCATTCCTGCAGGTCAGCCGTTATTGCTGCCATATAAGCCTTCTGGAAGTACTGAGATGTATTATGTTCCTTATCCAAAGGCAGGATCCAGAATGTCTCCAGTTGCATCAGAAACGACTGTTGAGAGCTCTCACTCAGGTACTTAGACATCTTAGATCTTTGAATGCAGAATGATGTCTAAATATATGCATTTCATATCCAGAATTGTTTCAGCTGAGCTCAGAGCTGTTCTGTCCTACCAGTTTAAACGCATTGATGTTCACACCACTTTATAACAAAAAGATCTGTGAATCCCGACTGAAGGCTATGGTTTCAGTTTCTTTGAAGAATGTGAGTTTAGTGTATCGTACTGTTGGCAGTGAGGGGAAAAAGCAAGGCTCCGAATGTCTTACAGCTTGATAATTCTTAACTTTTTCACCAGGAATTTCTATTGCATTTGGACTCTTTCATATCCCTGCCGGTTCTCCTTCCCTTTAGTTCCCTGCTTGCTATTACCTTCTGCCGCATTCTGCTTTTTTATTTGATAAGTGTGCGTTGTGAAGTATTTGCGTAACGTAAAATGAATTTCAGATAACAGCTCTCTGATTTTTCTGAATTTCTTAGCCCTGTATTAAGTGATTCCAGTGTAGAAAGTTACTTTCTTTAAACAATGTAATTCATACCTGTGGTTTCAAATACACATTAACCTTCCCCTGCCCCCCAATAAAAAGCTTTCCTCGTTAAGTGGAGGAAAGGGTGGTCTGTGATTCTTTCACTTTGCCTCTTATTTTTTAGTTCTTTATATATAAAAGAACATGTCACTTAAGCGTTACAGGTCTTATTTTCAGGTTATTTTCAATTAGAGCTTTTTGACAGCCACAGTTATTTGTGGACAAAACGAATGATGGACAGAGATGTCCAGTTCCTGATAAATGTGCCCCAGGGTGTAGGTTGATGTAAGAGTGATTAGGAAGTGTAGAGGTTAGTCATTATCGCCACAGATTGTGCTTGTAATTATTTATGTGTTTGTGCTCGTTACTCTTTTCCGGTGTATCTATTTTTATACAGTTAAAATGAGACATGAATGTGATTTGCCTGTGACGTTTTGTAGGAGCTGTGGTGCTAAATGTAAAGATATACTATATGGATGAGGCAGCTCAAGAAGGTTCTAGAAAATGTGCAGCAGAACTAAAAAAATCTCGTTTTTTAAACTCTCTGCTGCAGGCAGGATTCTTAGCTCCTGAGCAGTAGCTGAAGGAAATCGAGTTAAGTCTGCTGAATGTAACCAGGTGGTGTTGACAAGGATGATAAATCAGGTGCCATTTTAGGTTTCTGACTGTTAGGAGGCAGAGCTGTAATGCTGAGGGAGCTCTGCCATTATTGTCTAAAATTCTTGTTTAGGAGTTAAGCTCTAGTCTTCCAGTTTTCTCCGTTGCTATTCTGAGTTCAGAGAATAGCTATTTACATCAGTCAGTGAAAATGTCTGGAATTTTACTGTGAGCAGAAGGGAGTCTGGACTTTCCAGGTCCTGTGTCTGGCTCCCTAGCTGATTTGTCTAATGCTAATTTTATTGTTGTCTTCTCTGCTCATTAGTGTAAAAGGTAAAATCAGTATCCCCTGCTGTTAGTCATTAGAATTGCTCACTAGTGATCATGACTGCTGGATGGTGAATATACTGCTACTAACAGTTGAATATTAAGCTTCCTTTCAGACACTGTCTTTGAAATTTGTGTGTGTATGTATCTTTGCTGTTTCATCTTTTTAGTTGCAACGGTTGCTTTTTTTTTTTTCTGCAGGATCAAATGATGCTATTCCTCCAAGGTTTCCAGCAAATGCCTTTGGCTTAAGGGACGATAATGCTCCAGACAATACAGCTCCTAAGCATAAAGAAGGAATCTATAGTACGAGGGCCAAGCCCAAGGTGGCCTGGACTGAGGAGAAAATGATACCACTGGAAGTTGCCCCAGGTTGTTAAAGTGTGTGTTCAGTTTTACATGAATTTTCATATGCGTGACAGAAAATAGAGCAGAAGAACTAGATTTTAGGATCTATGACTTCTGGTTTCATGACGTTGCCGATACTCTGCCTGAAGATACTAAATGTGACTCTTATTTTTCCTCTCCTTCTCTCCTCTCTGCTTCCCGTCCCCCCCCCCCCCCCCCCCCCCCCCCCCCCCCCCAGCCCCAAAATACCTAGGCGTTAGTACTTGCCTAGCATTCTAGTGGCCCTGACACTTAACAGAGCCTTTATAAGATGTTTTAAGACACTCAGTGTTAAGTTTGTGAAGTGCAAAATCTTTAAGTGTATAAAATGATGCAAATCGAGAAAATGACAGAAATCTCATGATAAATGAAAGTAGGTGAGATGGCACCATTTATTTAATAGAGTTTGTGGTGTTGCCCACAGATACCTTACATAGCATCACAAAATATCCACGCATCTCTGTCATGCGGATATTTTACCTGAGTCTTAATTTGATTGGACTTGATATATCTCTTCCCCTCCATTAACCTTATTGGATGCTATTTCTAAGGGATGAAGGTCAGGTTTTACTACTACTGTAGCCTACTTTAAGGCAATGTTTCCTTAAGGCAGTGTTGCCTTTTGCTGACAAAATAAAATTATACTGAGATAGTTGATAATTTTGACACTATATCTCGTGGTGTAGCTAAAACTACTTCTGATGGACGCTCCTAAACCTCATTCAGCACTTCTGAGCGGCTGATAAACTTCCTTTAATCTGAGCAGGGATGAGAATTTTTGTTAGGGTTGGTGATATTTTCATCTTCTTGTTCCTGGGCAGAAGTAACTGTAAGTAGAAAACTGCTGAGTGGTTTGCCATCTCCCACGTGGAATTAATAACTGCATCTAGAAAGACGTTTGTTGCACAGTACGGTATTTTGAGGTTATGTGCTATATTAAACAAAGTGAGCAAACTGCAAGGAGGTAATATAATTATGGCTATTAATTAGTGATGGGACCAGAAAGAGATGAACAGTATAAAGGAATCTGAAATAGAGAGTTCCCATTCTCTTGTAGGCAGTCACGTATACAATTTCTCCGGGACCCATTTATTTTTCTTAACATCACATAAACTTGCTATATGAAGGCACTTAATGGAATGGATTTTTGTGGAGTACTTCAGTATTATTATTGTTGGCCTTTTTAAGCAGACAGCTCAACATGCCTAGGGTAAGGTCACTTCATGGAACTGTGCTGATTTATCTACAGGGATGTCTTTTGATGACTTTAATTCTTCACTTTAGAAGGGATCTTCTTTGAAGCTTTTCCCTTCAGAATGGAGATTACATTTCTGATATTCCCAGCAGATTATTTGAAGTGTGTGATTGCATAAGACAGACTGAACTTCATATTACTTCATATTTGTTTTACTTTTGCAATAAGTGTACGTGGGATCAATGGTTGAATTAGTGCAACAGTAAAGACAATATTGTCTTAACATAGTTTTTCCAATAGAAGAAATGATTATCTGTGAACATTTATAAAATGCAAGAATACAGAAACAAGGAGAAAAAGATAGGAAAATGCTTTTCTTCATTTGCTGTGGGTAACCAAATGGCTTGGGTCATGGTGGTAGAGCTGAAAAAAGTGCACGTATAGAAATGAGCTCTCAAAACAAGAATCTAGGATAAGAAACAAAATCCCGCCTTAGAGTAGAGATCGATAGATACTTGTCTGTCTGAGTCCCCTGATTTAAAAAAAAAAAAAAAAAAAAGTGATGGAAACACAAGTGTTGATACAAAATTATCTAATTGTGTCTTTCTGTAGCAGTTGGTAGCCTAAAGGCATAGGGAGGACCAGACTTGTAAGTAGAGATAATCTTTTGTTAGACTAGCCAGTATAGTTGGAAGGTTAAACTTTCTGAAGAAAGACCAGGCTTGCATGTCTCAAATCTTCTCTGACTTCTCCAACTGTATTTTTAGCTGGTCTAATAAAAGATTGCCTCTACCCACAGAGCTTGTCTAGAGCTTAAAATTATGCAAATTATGTATTTTTTAAATGTTTCTTTATAGAAGCTTATTTTTATTTTCTCCCTATTTGCATTCCTTCCATTTTGTTGGTAGTTTTATTAAAATACAGAAATAGCAAAAATTCTGCATAGCATTCTCAAGCCTGATCTCATTAGTCAGGAGGGTGTGAAGGAATCTTCTTACATGCATGGGTGTATAAACATTGACCTTGTATGCAAAGACAAATTCCTCCAGTTTCGGAGTTAATGAGGCTGGTTCTGGAGATGCTATTCATGATCTTGAGATGACACTAAAGTGCCCCTATTGAGAAGGGAAAGGGAAGATATGCATAGAATATAAGGAAAACCAAGGACAAGTTAAGTTTTATAAAGCAGTGTTAATAGAATAAATTAACACAATTTTATAGTAACCCTCCTTGTGCTTATCTTGCATCAGTTTTTCCCATGAAGAACTTGAGGTTTTATAAATAGTAACTTAACCTGTGATCCTCGATGAAGAAGGGAGATATTTTCCTCAGTGGGGTAGGGAGAGGCACAGTTGTGGGACTCGCTCACCACTCTCTTATTGAATCAATGGTAAAGCTAGCTCAAAAAAAAAAAAGCAATTTCTAGTTGTCTTTATCAGTAAATCACAGTCTCAGAGAGAGCAAAACAAGAGAAGGCTGTTTGAAGAAAAAAGTGGAAAAAAAAAAATTGCAAACAAGGGAAAAACTGATTTGAATGTGATCCATGCCATTAATGTAGCTTGGTATGCATTTACCTAGTTGTTGTTACCGTTAGTGAATGGACTGTACTATTTTACATTCCCTTTTTTATTTAAATGAAGGCTATTACTACTTTATAATGTAACTGTAAACTACATATCGGGTAAAGTGGCATAGGAGAAGGATAGCTTGCAATAAGCATAGGGGCTTGGGATGTCCTTCTGGCACTAATGGCTGTAATTGTACATTCAGCGTTTATGGATCCTTGTACAATGAAGTCCATCATGCAAAGAACATAACATGAAATATATATTGCAAGTGATTTTATGAAACAATTTTAGAGTATGCTCCTGCTAGCACATGCTACATTTGTGTTAATGCATGTATTTGTGTAATGCAATGTATTACAAATGAGTTTACAGTTAGGTTCCTGTATATTGTCCTTTGTACTTTCAGATAGTAGCATTTTCTGGCAGGATTTCATTGCTCCTTTCAATTAAGCTGTATCTTCTGATCCTAAAAGTGAAGCAGGGTTGGATCTTGTCAGTACGCTATCAGAGATCGTTCTAGGAATTACGCAGGAAGTGGTACTGGTTGTCTTACATAGTGCTATTCTGAGTTAGTGAAAAAGTAATGTTCTGGTATAGCCCTAAGGGGCATTGGTACTCCCAGGACATTTGTCTAAAGAGAGGCAGAGTTGTGGCTGCCTGTCATTGACTTTCCATAAATAGAAACAAAGACCCTATCCAAATTCTAGCCTGGGTAATTACATACGGCATATCGGGGTTCCTTCTTCAGATTCAGTAGGATACAGTATTCTCTTGGATTTCATGTTGCAAATGATAGAAAATATTATTCATGCCCTGTTAGTAATGCTGAGACTTCATTCCAAAGATGATTGCATTTCAGGAAAGGGGAAAATGATTCCTGTTTTTAATCTATTTAAGTGGTGGGGGAGTCTTAGGATGAATATTGCCCTGTTTAAGATGTACTGTTTGCTACTTGCTTATATGTAAGGGAACATAAAACTAATTTTTTTTTTTCCTTTTCTAGAATGCACAAATCATTTGCAATCTGTAAAAACCACTCACTCCATCTTCAAATCAGCACAGTTCTACCTTCATCCTCCAATGCCTATGTATGACAGCTACTTCCTGTCTAACAGTGAGCTATCAGAGGAGTATTCTGATACTGGACGTGCTAGACCTTCCTCAAATGCTTTCTTCCAGAACTGGAAAAACGCAGATCGTAATCAACGTGTTTTCTCCACTCACCATAGGAAGAATGGTGAAAATGAATTCTTTCCACTAACTGCAGAAGCAGATTACAGCAAGAATGAAGATATAAGAATTAGTACATCTTTAGGGAATAAAACTGTAGGAAAGGAGCTATTTCAACGTGGCAGAAGAGAAGCAGAACAAAAGAAGGCTAGAAATTACCCTTTACCATGCAGCCAAATGAGTCACTTTAACGAGAATCTAGAGACAGGCCTGCCAGGGAAACGGAGAACCCATTCCACTAGCAGCTTAGATGAGCTCTGGACTAAGTTTTTGGAGCGCCAGAAGAGACACCAGCACCATGATTTTAGGAGCGACAGTGAGTTATCCCTTGTTGAGCGCCTCGATCGGTTGGCCAGGGTCCTTCAGAATCCCATCAAGCATACGCTAGTACCTACAGAACCTGAAAAGATTGCTTCTGAAAAGAAGATTAAGGGAAGAGAGCAGAGGTTTCAGGAGAAAAACACATGCGAAAGTACCTTAGAGCCTGATGCAGCACATAGTGAAGAAAGACCACATATCAACCGTAATAAAAATAGCCTTGCAGAGTTCAGGAAAAATAGGGCAGGAGAGAAAACTATCTGTCACATGAATAAAATTTTGGAGCACCAGCAGTACTTGGAAGCTCCTAGTGACACTTCCTCAGAGGCCGGGCTTAGTAAAGATCATGGCACTGTGATCAGTTCTGCGACCTCTGAATCTGATGTGGTGACCCAAACAGAAGTGGAAACTGCTACTCTGACTGAGGTGAGCAGTTCCATTTCCACCATTGACACTGCCAGGCTGATCAGGGCTTTTGGGCATGAAAGAGTGCGTGTGTCGCCAAGACTGTCCCAACTTTATTGTACCATCAATCGGCAGAAAAGTCGCTCTGAGAAGTGGAACAAGTGGAGCAGTAAAGCAATGGGTGTAGAATATCCGAAGGTGACCTCTGAGAGACAGAGGAAAAGGAAAGAGATCCAGGTATGTGACCAGTTAGACCAAAAGACAACTTCAGCTAATCTTTTGCAGGTACTCTTGAGCTGTGTACAGTAGAGCTTGCTACTTGGAGAATGATTAACACTTTCCAGAGAACGTTGTTTATATGGTAGACTTAGGTCTGATCCGAGTAGCTCAAAAGCAAACCAGGCTCTTTGCCTTTCCAGGTATAAGGAGGAGATCAGAATCTCTTACAACATCAACCTTGCTCCCCTTCCCTTTGTTCGCATTTGTCGTCTTTCCCTCGTTATTTGTTTGGGATGTAGTCTTGGGAAGCAAGATCCTGCTGTGTCTGATTTCTGGTTACTTCAAGGTTCTGCAGCAATCCTGAAGACGGTGGTGGTAAATGAAAACGAATTTCCTGAAAGGAGACCTTGGCATGGGTTTGAAGCTTGTCATGAGTTGCAAAGTTTTTGTGTTTTTACTAGAAGTGGTAGTGTCATCATTACTAGTAGATGTTCATACTTCACTGAAACAAGTTAGGTTTTCTTATAGAAACAACTAAAATCCAGTTTTTGTACCAAGTAACTTACTGAATGCATGCTTAGGGGGAAAAAAACCCAGGCCTTTTCAAGGCTAAAGCTTAAAAAGAAAAAAGTTAGAATGAAATTGTTGTACACTTTGCCTACAGCATCAGGATAATTAATCACAACAGTGACCCTCTAAATATGACACTGGGATTCTACGATTCTTGCATGATTATACTATTTAGGACCTTATTTTATTCTTTTTTCCACTTCTTGCTACTAACCTTGCAGTGTCTGCCTAGGCCTTGGAAAAACAACCTCTTGTTTTACCTTTCAAAATCACCTATGAAAGAGCAGATTTCAGTAGCTCTTATACTAGAATAAAGTTTTACTGTTCCCAGTGCTAGATGTTGTTTTGAACCTGTATGGCTTTTAGAAAGTGATACTTCTCTGCTGGGGGTTGCTTGGTTGGTTTGTTTAATATGTTAAGAGACACGTGATCCACCTCAAATAAGGATGAGGAAAAAAACTAGTGGCAAAGATGTCAGACTGTATTTAAAAACTAAATCACTGATAATTTCTGTGATGCTGGGGAGAACAGAAATCCAGATATTTGCCTTTATTTGCAAATATCTGTGATTCAAAGACAAATTTATTTATAGCAGGATCCCTACTCCTAGAGAGAATACTGCACAAATCTTTCAGGCTGTTGAAGTTAGGAGACTGCTGCATTTTGTAGCTCAGTTTTTAATGCGAGCCTATTGTCAGCTCTGCTTCCAGAAGACTTCATTACAGCTTTTATTTATAGATGCTGGACTCATCCCAGAAGAGTTTTTAATCTATTCCAGTTTGTTATTTCTAAAGCACTCTTCACGCTGCCATCTGGTAGCAGGTACAAAGCTAAAGGTTGTGCTATTTAACTACTGAAGGGCTGTGAAAGCGTTGCACTGAATATTCTAGTCCAAATAGAAATATGCTGTCAATATTCAGTACTCCCTGGCTGCTTGTATTTATTTCTGTTTGACTGCTGATATGCATGTGCATGTAGATGGATTTTCTGGTTTTTCCTTGGTCTATCTTCAGTCTTTCCTGAGCGCATATATTCAAATTTGCTTCTCTTCTCTGATAGAAGCTACGTATTTACTACATCTGTCTAGTGCGCTCTACCAGAGCTGCAACAGTTTTATCGAACTGAAAACCAGTTAATGGCAGTATGTTTGAGAGTAAAAATTACCTCTATGTAATCTTGAAATGAAATTGTTTTGCATCGAAGCAGCAATAGCAGAGGCTCAATAAAAAGGTAATAAAAAAGCCTCTGCTCATTTCCATCATTGCTTGCTTTACGACTTACTAATAGGATACTAATTGCTGTGATGGGGAGGGGGGAAATCAGTTTCATAATTAAAAATGAAATTGGCAGTGTTGCAGAAATTGGTCTATACCACACTATTGGATTCGAAGCCTGGGGAAGCACTGTCAGTAAATTGCTGTTAATAGAGCACTAACGTTCTCTGTACCTGAAAGCAAAGCTTGTGGACGAGATGCATTACACTCACAGAGTGGATATATTACATTTTAAGTGGCTGTAAAGTTATTACATCTCATAACATTTGATTTAACAAAGTCATACGTACCATCTACTCTCTGCACCTGGAACTTATTTGTAAGAAAGGTGAAGATGTGATACTAGTATTTTGCCTAAGTCATGCTCTTACCACGTGGCTGCTATTTCTCATTTTTTATTGAGTTTGATTTTCTCTGCCTAGTGAACTTTGCATAGTGAGAATCACAGAAAGAGTGAGGGAATTTGTCATGTTTTGAGGGGACTTTGTTTTTTGATGGTGCAGAACTCACGTTCATGGTGAACTAAAAAAGCAACGCGTAGGTCCTTCCAGCCAGTCTCTCCTTCTGATAACCCAGTAACCTTTTAGATGCTTGTGATTTGAGAGGGCGTGAATACTAGGTTTAGGAATGCTGGATTTAGTTTAGATGTTTGTTCTCCCCCTTCCAAAAGCACAGCTGTTTTAAACAGTGCAGTCTTTCACAAAAGTGCAGCTAACAAATGAATTTGCTACGTCCATGGGTTTTTTTAAGAGCCTACCGTGACAGTCTGTATTGTTCCATGAACTACGGAGGATGCTCAGCACCTCACAAAATCTGATCGCAGGGTAGCTCTTGTCTGCAGAAACCATGCACTCTTCTTACTGGGACTGGGTGCTGAAAGTGAGTTAGTGCGTGAGGATACGAAGTGAAGGCTAGCTATTGTGTGGAATATTAGTAATAAATACTGATAAGCCTGTGCTAAATAGCTGAATAACGTTAGAGTCAGTGTACTACAAACAAAGAATGATAATCATGATTTTCTTGCTGTTTGAAACCCTCTTTCTGCCCGTTTCAGTTATGTTTTCAGGAATTTCTGTCCTTTTGCATGTTTTTTTCTAGAAGGCAGCTTCTATTTCATCAGATTCAGCTTCTACTAGCAGTATTTCTTGGGGGCCAAGCTCTGCTCTTAGTAACAAGCGACGGATACGGATGTTAAACAAAGGTATCCAAGCAGGTGAGTTTTTGGGTTCCAGACCTGACTTTTCTGTATTTACTTCTGCCTTTCATCTCCTTGGAAACCTTTCTCCAAAGTCTGTTGTATGTTTCTGGTGACGAGTATGTATACTCAGCATTCTAACTCACTTCCAAACGTTCTTACAGTAATGTTATGTTGTAATTGAAATGAGCCATCACCTTTCCTTGCCTTGCCTTCTGGAGTATTAGCCAGTTTTCGTACTAACTTGTAAGTTTTGTTAACCTAGTTTTCTAATTTATCGCAGTGGTAAAGGTGGACTACTGCATTTTATTATTTTTATACATATAAACGTGTGTGTATGTGTGTGTATATATATATA